TTCCCCCCCCCCCCCCCCCAGAAAATTTTCTGCTGGCACACCTAAAAAATCAAAACATACATAAAATTTTCATAACTAAACTAAGATTTTATTCTTTAACATTTCCCCATAATGGATTTCGATGCATTCTTGGAAAACTGTAATGTAAAACGCAAAAAAAACGAAGTCATCCCCGAGCCCAGTGGTCAGCAAAACGCGGCGCGCGAGCCGCATGCGGCTCTTTAACGACCTGAGTGCGGCTCGGCCAATCGGCCACAAATCAGTTTTGACTCCGAAAAACATGATTCTTTGGAAAAAAAAATGTGGCTCTCAAAACTTGTTTAATCGCCCTGCTGCTGATTTTTGGCTCTTTTGACTAATGAGTTTGCCGACCGCTGGCCGAGCCAAATGTAAAATGGCCACGACAGTTTTTGCGTCATTTTTCGATATGCGCAGTAGGTGTGCGTGGCTGATGTTCACGGGACCTATAATACCTGACGCAATTTCGACCTCAAATTAATATTTTTTAAAAACTTATTTGAATAAAGATTTTTAAAACGTAGAACGTTTTAGATTTTTTACAAAAAATAATTAAAAAGAAATAAATAAAAATATGACGTTACAAATGTTTTGACACCACCCTCCACTCCCCTGTCACAAAGTGTCATAAACTCTCGGGGAACCCCCACCCCCAATCTTTCCTCTAATCGTGACGTAATTTACGAAAGACTCCAAAGAAGTCATTCGATCACCGGCCATCACCTTGCTGATTGTGGATTGCCACCTTCCCCGTCCGGGGTTTATTTCTATACCGATGTAACGCTACTGGTTTTTATAGTAGGCCTATAGTCTGGTTTGTATAGTAGGCCTATAGTCTGGTTTGTATAGTAGGCCTATAGTCTGGTTTTTATAGTAGGCCTATAGTCTGGTTTAGATAGAGGCCTATCTTCAACAAAAAGTAAGAGACCATTACTATTACTTTTTTAAATTAATGTCAATAAATTCTACATCGATCTCTTCGATTGTTTCATCTTCCAAACTTGCTGCTAGTCTAGGAAACGTACCATGTTGTCGTGTACACCATGAGCTTAGACTTGCATATAGACAAGATGTCCTTTGAACTCTCGTCAACTTTTCCCCTGATAGGATATAGACCCATACCGCGCCATTCGGCTAGGCATTTCCATTTTTTAAAATAACACGTCAGCAGACGATTGTATAGCAGTTCAGTTGATAGGTCACTGAACAATCATCATCCGTAACAATCCGTCTAACACAGTGGCTCTCAAGCTTCCCAATGTCGGGACCCTATAGTACAGTTCCTCATGTTGTTGTGACCCCCACCATCCCCTCCCCCCAAAAAAGCAACATAAAATTATTTCGTTGCTACTTCATAAATATGTTTTCCGATGGTTTTAAGCGACCCCTGTGTAATCGTCGTTTCACCCACAAAAGTATCGCGACCCACAGGCTGAGAACCGCTGGCCTAACATGGCCCCGCCAGTAGTAGTAGGCAATCGCCTGTGGGTTTTCAGTGGGCGCTTATGGAAGTGGTGGGTCCAGAAAAAATTCTTATTAACATTGTTTTTTTTTAAATGATTTAAAAAAAAAAAAAATATTGTCTTGAAATCGGGTACCGGTACCCAGAAATGCCCGGGCAGTTAAACTCGGCGGGCGTGTACCCGCACACCCGTTGCCATCCTTACTAGACAAGAATCTTGCTTTTTTCCCCCAGGTTCTTCTCGTTCTAAAATGAATAAAGCAAAATAACACAGTCTGTCATGACACGTGGAGGACCTCACGTACACAAATTAATCAGTTTAAGGTTTTAACTGACTAAATGACGTCTCACAATTAACTCAAGAAGTGGCCAGGCAATGACCAGGATCATCTCAACTGCTCCGCTCTTATTTGGAAAGACTCCGTCATCTCCATATTGTATTATGAACGCAGAATTAAAAAAAAAATGTAAATCGGAACACATATTGACATTAAAACCCGCACGTCTGCATTAGAGTCATATGGACCACTGTAACACAGTATAAGAGAGTCATTTGGTCCTCTGTACGACAGCATCATATGGACCACTGTAACACAGTATAAGAGAGTCATTCGGTCCACTGTACGACAGCATCATATGGACCACTGTAACACAGTATAAGAGAGTCATTCGGTCCACTGTACGACAGTATCATATGGACCACTGTAACACAGTATAAGAGAGTCATTTGGTCCACTGTACGACAGCATCATATGGACCACTGTAACACAGTATAAGAGAGTCATTCGGTCCACTGTACGACAGCATCATATGGACCACTGTAACACAGTATAAGAGAGTCATTCGGTCCACTGAATGACAGTATCATATGGACCACTGTAACACAGTATAAGAGAGTCATTTGGTCCACTGTACGACAGCATCATATGGACCACTGTAACACAGTATAAGAGAGTCATTCGGTCCACTGTACGACAGCATCATATGGACCACTGTAACACAGCATAAGAGAGTCATTTGGTCCACAGAATGACAGTATCATATGGACCACTGCAACACAGTATAAGAGAGTCATTCGGTGCACTGTACGACAATATCATATGGGTCACTGTAACACAGTATAAGAGTGTCCTTTGGTCCACTGTACGACAGTATCATCTGGACTACTGTATGACGCTATCATGTGGACCACTGTGCGACAGTATCATGTGGACCACTGTATGACAGTATCATGTGGACCATTGTATGACATTATCATGTGGACCACTGTATGACGTATCATGTGGACCACTGCATGACGCTATCATGTGGACTACTGTGGGACAGTATCATGTGGACCACTATATGACAGTATCATGTGGAGCACTGTATGACAGTATCATGTGGACCACTGTATGACGGTATCATGTGGACCACTGTATGACGTATCATGTGGACAACTGTGCGACAGTATCATGTGGACCACTATATGACAGTATTATGTGGACCATTGTATTACATTATCATGTGGACCACTGCATGACGGTATCATGTGGACCACTGTGCGACAGTATCATGTGGACCACTGTATGACGTATCATGTGGACAACTGTGCGACAGTATCATGTGGGCCACTGTATGACAGCATCATTTGGACCACTGTATGACGGTATCATGTGGACCACTCTATGACGGTATCATGTGGACCATTGTATGACTGCATCATCTGGACCACTGTATGACTGCATCATGTGGACCACTGTACGAAAGTATAATGTGGACCCCTGTAAGACAGTATAATGTGGACCACTGTATGACAATATCATGTGGACCACTGTATGACAGTATAATGTGGACCACTGTATGACAGTATAATGTGGACCACTGTATGACAACATCATGGGGGCCACCATATGACAGCAGCATGTGGACCACTCTATGACAGTACCATGAGAATCACTGTATGACAGTCTCTTACTCTCATGTGGACAAATGTATTACAGTCTAATGTTGACAAATGTATTGCAGGCTAATGGGGACCACAGTAAGAAAACCTCACTTTGACCACTGTATGAAAGTCTCACGTGCACTAGTGGCGTAGCTAGGGGGATCCGGGGGGTGCGGACCGCACCGGATGTCACCATCTCAGGGGGTGACAACCAATTGGATAATTGCATATTTACAGAGCACACACTGCTCAGTCCAACCGATTTTCATAAAAGGATAACCAATCACACAGAAATTTTCCCCACCTAACCAATTCTACAGCGTGTTTTATCAAAAGTTTTATGTTGATGTGTAAGAAATGAGTTGACCCTATAAGTAGGTCAGAAAAACGCCTTTTAAAATGATTTTTTTCCCCATTTATAGGGTTAACAGTGACGTAGCTAGGGGTGTGGGGGTGTGGACCACAATGGGTGACACCTTCCAAGGGGGTCACACAAAATTGAAAAATTGAATATTTACAGATCACACACCGCTCGGTCTAATGGAATTTCATAAAAGGATAACCGATCACACGCTAATTTTCCACGTGTAACTAATCCCAATGTTGCGCCAGAAACACCTTTTTGACCATTATTCAACGCCGATTGAAGTGTTCGGTAACTTTCAGGACAGGAAGCAATATGTATCTTAATTCTGAGAAATAAAGCTTTCCACTGAAACCAAATATGATATGCTCGGACGATTCTAAGTAAATGAATCAAATGGGTAAAAATTAAAAACATTAAAAATTAATTTTTACCCATTTTTAGGGTCAACAAAATAAAATTTTACAAAATTTTCTAATAACTTTTAATAATTAATTTAAATTTCAAAAAAATTATTTTGAAACCAAATCTATTTTTAAAAAAACCTGAAAAGCCAAATTTAACTAAAGAGTTTGAAGACCAGAGTTGTCTATGGCAGGCCTGCACAACATACGGCCCGTGGGCCGCATGTGGCCGCCAGCACCCACTTGGCGGCCCGCAAAATAACGAAATATTCTTTATTATTATTATTTTCTTAATAGCTTTCCTCCCTGTCCTACCATCTTTCGGCCCGCACAAGCTTTTCATAAAGTATTACGGCGCGTACAAGTTTTTGATAAAGTATTATCTTCTTCTTCTATATCTTAAGGGCCCACGATCAATTTATTGATCATTTTGGCTCCTATGCATGTAGATGGGATTTGCAATGTTTCTGGTGTTGATGAGGAAATCATGCACTAGTGGTTTGAAGGCTTGAGGCAATAGACACAAATGTGTCTAGTGTTTTTGCCTCAACCGTTCCTTTTAAAAGATTGTTCCAGTCCCTGATTGTCTTGGGCAGGAATGAGCACCACCTATACTGGCTTATATATGGTCCACCTTACATTTTGAGTTGTGCAGGCCTGGTCTATGGGCTTCAATGTCATTTATAATGATGATTACCATACCCAGTGCAGCATATCAGATGATCCTTTTAGGTAAAATTATTATGTAGTACTTTTTAAACAATTCACACATGCAAACAAATATTTTATAAGTGGAAAATTAAAATATCCTGATTGCAATAATTTCAGGTGAATTCATTTTTATTTAACAAGCATGTACAAAAAATTCAGTTTAAAATATTAATTATTAAAGTTTAACTTCCTTCTCATCATGGTAACAAATGGGCAAATTTAAATGGTAGCCACTAACATTCTAACAAACTTCCATCAATGCTAACATACAAATAACAAAGTCAGAATATTATATTTTACATCATTTTTAAGAAGTTATTGCCTATTGTCTCATTTCTGTGTGCTTATCTTATAATACAAAAACATTCCAACCAACAACTGCAAACAGCAAGCATGATTCGGGACAATATTTAAGATTGTCTTCCTTTAAAGTGTAAGTAAGAAAATTACAGAGCAAGATAACATATCCCGCTGTGTTCAGTGTTCTGCACAAGTTTTATATTTCAAGGCATCACCTTTATTATTATTGCCCATATTATAGAGAGCAGCTTGATGGCTTGCACTTTGTGTTTTGAAGCCACAGGTGAAGTTTCCGATGACGTATGATATACAATGTGGTGTATTTCAATGCTGAATAGCAGAGGCCTCAAGAAGGTCAAGACAATTACGTATTTCAATTTCTATTGGTAAATAAATAAATTGACATTTTAACACTTGTAAAAAAAAAAAAAGTGTTTACCACACAATGAACAAAAATTCATTTATATGTAGGCCATATATCAAATATTTGTTACAAAAAAAAAACAGATCTTTGATTTTTTTAAAAATAACAAATTGAATGAAATATTATTTTTTGCCTAATAAAGAATTAGAAATAAGAATAATTTGAATTGTAATCAATGCTAACTGTCTAATATGATGGACATTGCAACACACATGTTTGCCATAACATGTTTTATGAATGACAGGCACAAGAAATAGATACAATTATTTTGCTAGCATTGTCTTTTTACACATTTCACACAAATACATATGTCATTGCCACATATTCATTACAGTTGTACCAATCTTTTGTTATCCAAAAATGAAAAGAAAAAAAAGAGGAAGTGAAAGGTATCCAACATTTAGTTACCCCTTCCTTTCCCTGGCTTGTTGCCACCTCCAGCACCTCCACCTCTGCCTCCTCCTCCACCTCCCCTACCCCCACGACCTCCAGGCTGAAAAACTCCTGTAAGCACACAAAAAGAAGCAAATTATGTGATTTTGAAGCTAAAAGATGTCTATGTTTATACTTCTTAACTATTTTGATATTTAGTTGTTTATATTGCTGAAAAGGTTTTAATTATTATTGCGTTAAATAAAGGGGTAGAGCTCAATGAACGCAAATAAATAAATACTTTATTATTATTTAAGTTAACTTGATAGTTGTAATTTTATATAGTTCATTTCAAGCTTTCAAGACACAAGTCATGAGTGACTGTTCAATGCCCATACCAAAGAAACCCAAAGAAACATACCTCTACCACGACCTCTCTGACCGGCACCACGGCCTCCTTTAAAGTCACCTCTGCCCTTTGACTTTTGAACTACCTCTTCTTTAACCATATCAATGACTTCATCTGGAATACGTAAATATTTTATAGTACTTCCCCGGATATAACATTCTGGCATCCTCCAAAACCTGTCACCATCCTGGTAAATAAAACATTGAAATATAAAAATATCACATCAAAATAAGTTACACATTCTGATAATAGAATGTAATAAATGTAGCTCATTGTTGATATTAGCTTTTAATCACTTTCCGCGATACTGGTAATTATTTTGATTGAAGACTCTGATATCTTCAAAAGATTATTATTAAATGTGATAAAAATGGAAATGGCTTTATAGTTTAATAATTTTTATTTCTAACAAATAAAAAGGAGGCTCTGTAAATTTATATCTTGATTATCTGCTGGATCTTTGAAAAAAAAATTTTGAATGAAGAAATTAAAAATTTTTTTATAAATATTTACCCTTGATGTACAGATGACTTCCCTTAGATTGATATTCATCCAGTTGTCACAGCTAACCAGGTGACCATTGTAGGTCTCACCATTCTTTAACTCAACTAACTGAATTAAAATATCAATTAAATATATTAAAATAGAAACCATTATTAAATTATAGAAATGATTTAAAGTATCTCGTTTTCTTGAAAAATTCCAGACCTATACTTGTATATAAGAAAACAAATTAATTTTAAGAAAGATTTTTCACTTGGATAAAGGCCCAGAGCGTAATGGATTTTTTCTATTTTTTTTTTAATTATTGAGTTCATAATGTCTTCTTTGCCTGAGCCTTAGTAAAGCTTCAACAACAAATCCTACTTTTTTATTGTTAAAATATATCTTGGCGTTGTAAATCAATAAATAATAATAACTAGGCCTAGAGCAATATTATTTCTTAACAAAAAATTTCTATTATTTTGGAAATTAAGGAAACAAATTTCTTTTTAGAGTTTTTATAAATTATAAAGTAGGTTATTATGTAGCAGAAGAAGTAATTTGCTAAACATTTATTAGAGTAAGAGACTTACCATCGGATGATTCACAGCTGTACGCAAAAGTGATAGTGGTAGCTGCAAGGTAAATTAATATTTTTGTGTAGGCCTAAGTTAAACAGTTCTCAGAAATGAAATCTTCTAAAGAAATATCAGTTTTTTAAATGCATCAATGAAGTATATTTGGTTAATCTTATGTTTTGTATGTCGTAAATTAAAGGTCCTTAACTAGTGATTGTAGTTTAGCGTATTTCATTATCTACTAGTTATCCCTCCTTACAAGGAATACTAAAAATACATTGTCAGCAGAATTTACAAAATTACAAGCATATTCCAATACGGGTATTGGAATATGCTTGTATTGAATTGAACAATTGTAACAATTGAATTTTATTAGAAATAAATGAATCGTTTATTGATTAGCCCTACTTGCTTTCACATGGATTTTGACACCAAATAAACTTCCATCTATAGCTTCACAGTCAAAAGATTTAAGGATTTCGATTTTTAGCTTTGTGTTTACTTGAAGCAAGTTTTTTGTTTTCATTTTTTTTTTTTTTTTCAAAGTGGCGGAGGGGATCTGGGCAGGGTCTACCCTCCCCAGGGGTTTATTTTGTTTCTTTTTTTTTGTATTGAAAGTGGGGGGAGGGTTAAAAATTATTTAAGGATTTTGATTTTTAGTTTTGTGTTTACTTGAAGCAAGTTTTTTGTTTTCTTTTTTTTTTTTTTTTTCAAAGTGGCGGAGGGGATCTGGGCAGGGTCTACCCTCCCCAGAGGATTATTTTGTTTCTTTTTTTTTGTATTGAAAGTGGGGAGAGGGCTAAAAATTAGTGTTTCTTCTGACATTTCACTATGTGTCCCGTGAAACTGTGATATGATAGAAATGAATAGCATAGGGGTACTTTGATTTTCAACCAATTAAAATACAACACTTTCAGGACTCGCCTGTTGTTGTTTTCCTCGCTTGTGTTTATTTTCGGGAATCAGCAAGGATATGCTTCTTTTTTAATTTCTAGGGACAATGTATGCTTGAATTTTAGCTCCCAAGATTCTGATGAGTGACCTCCCCAGTTGCGCATTGTTACTAGAATTAACTATTAAATTTTTTTATATTAATACTTTTGATGTATAACTTTTTTAATGAATATTTCTTTGGGTAGTTAATTACAATATTTTAAAACGAGGCCCTTTAATTGACTGCATTATGACTGATAATTTTGTAAAAATGGATTTTTACTTTTCTGGAATCTTTGCGATTTATAAAGCGTGTAATGTGTATTTGATTCAACTATAAGGGTTTTGCTTACTTTGAATATTTAAATCAAATTTATGATTTTCTCAGTAGTGTACATGATTTAGGGTTCAAGTTAGGTCATAGATTTTAGGTGTGAAAATTTATGCTGAAGTTAGGGGGTACTAAATTTAGGGATGTAAAAGGAGGGGGCTAATATAGGGATGAATTTATGCTTGAGTTGGGGGGACTAAATTTATGGGTGAATTTACACTTGAGTTAGGGATACTGAATTAGAATTCAGGTAAGGTAGAGTTGTGAATTTTAGATTTCAAGGTTTTCCCCAACCAAAATGTCTAAATGGTGTTGATTTGTAATAAGCATGTTTTTGCACTACTTTTTTCTTCTCACTGCTGCCTTGTTCATTGCCATGTCTGGTGTCATGGCAACAAAGTTTGCGGAAGTGCGAAAAAAAAGTATAGCAAAAACACTGTGTAACAGGGGGGTATGTCAAGCGTACAAGTACCCTTTTAAACCTTGAAAATTGAACTTTAATGAAAATGAATTGGAAAATTCATTTTAATATATTTCATATTGTTAACTGTATCGATCTTCAGTTTTAGTATAAGATGCAAGCAATGCTCAGTAAAGAACTGGAACATACAGCTCAGGTCCAATAATTGTAATTGGTTATTCATTCTGTCCAGTGCTGGGATTCCCCGCCCAAGTTGATGTCACTGCGCTTAGGGTCAGACAACAATTGGCAAAAACCATCTGCTAACCAAAAGTACCAAACTTAAGAGCCTAAACTTAGACTAGTGTCACTAAAATAGACTAAACTATTTAACTTTAACAGACTAAGTAAAACAAAAAACTGAAAAGTTTAAGTAGATACTCCGCCGAAGCAAGGGACACTCCTAGAAAGTTTGTATCGGAAATGGGCATCGGCGCAATAGAATTTGAGTTTTTAATTTTTTCATGTGCATGTAATTTGCATAAATTAGGAGTACTTTTGGCCCATACTTAAGGTTTGACTCCACCCATTAACGTTAGGAGAAATGTTGAACTACATTCCCATTGAGTTAATTTGTTCTTTATCTCAACTTTAAGGCATCTTCGCATTAAAAAATTCTGTCTAAATATTCAAAGTTAAAGTAGGCCTGCATAATTTGTTGAAGTACACGTGTGCAAAATTTCAATGGGATAGCTTATGAAACATTTTTCACTATTCTCCTCAACGTTGACCTCATTATGCAAAGGTTGCACAGGCCATATTGGATTGGTGATCCCGGCCCCTTTTAAATGGCGGAAAATGCCAATACTTAGCTAAGGAAATATTCATTATTACCTCTAAATACCTCAAAATATTTGATAACTTGTGTTTCAAAATGCATTTTGATGACATTTAAACTAGAATGTTTAAATTTGAGCTTTAAAAACCCGGTAGAGTCCATATTATTAATTATCAGAATTGACTGTGTGCAAAAAGTCATGGGAAACCATTCACAGCCATTTGCATAATGCTATGCCGTAGTACTACCTCAAGTTTCATTCATAAGAGTTTGCCGTGTGCAAAAACTATTAACACCATTGGTCAGGGAAAGCTTTAGTTAATAAGTCATGTGCCAAAGTTGAAAGTTCAAAATAAGTAAATCCCATACAATATTTTAGGTGGTGCGATGCATTATATAGACTATATAGCATATACTGGTATAATGGTAGGTACTACACTAAAATTTTCAAAGTTGTTATATATTAATGAAACTTATATCATTAGAAAGGACTCAGTATTTCCTTTCCATTGATACATATTTTATCTTTCTATCTTAAGTAGAACAAAATTTATCGCATTTTTAGTGTCAGAATTTTTCCTTATATAGCCTTAGTAAATATTTTCCAAAATTTTGTGACCGAAAAAAGACATCTTTGACACTCAAAATGCGATAACTTTTTATTCAGCAAAGTTAAAGCTTTGAAACGTGCAACGCATTTTAATTAAGTTTTTGGCTTTAATAATAAATCATTGTTATGCAAATAATACAATAAACATATTAATGTGTGCGATTTGACTAACAGAGGGTACGTAAATTTCATTAAAAACGTAGCGCCTGCTCCCAATACTCAAAATGCCATAACTTTTTTATCTGTAAAGTTAAAGTCTTCATATTTTCAGGACAGTTTTATTAGGTATTGGGCTTTTATAACAAGCCATTTCCATATTAATATTTTGACTCATGTATTAATGCCCTGGATTTGACGAACAGAGGTTATGTAAATTTCATTAAAAGCATAGCGCCTGTTCTCAATACTCAAAATGCCATAACTTTTTTATCTGTAAAGTTTTAAGTCTTCATATTTTCAGCATAATTTAAGTAGGTATTGGGCTTTTATAATAAGCCACTTTCTTATTAATATTTAGACTAATGTATTAACGCCCTGGATTTGAACAACAGAGGGTAAGTAAATTTCATTAAAAATGTAGCGCCCGTTTTCAATACTCAAAATGCCATAACTATTTTCCCTGTAAAGTTAAAGCCTTCAAATTGTCAGAATAACTTAAGTAGGTATTGGGCTTGTATAATTAGGCATTTTCATATTAATATTTTGACAAATGTATTAATGCGCGGGATTTACAGCAGGTAAGTAAATTTCATTACAGATGGAGCGCCCGTTCTCAATACTCAAAATGCCTTAACTATTTTACCTGCAAAGTTAAAGCCTTCAAATTTTCAGCATAGTTTCATTAGGCATTGGGCTTTTATAATAAGCCATTAAATATTAATATATCAATAAATGAATTAAATCAGTGGCATTTGAGCAACAGAGAGTGAGTAGATTTAATTCTAAAATTTAGCCTGTTTGTGCATTAAAAATACAAATTGCATAAATGTTACCAATTCCACCTATTGTGTTAATGCACACAATCATCTAGTAAATTAATATTAATTCTGCGAATAATTCCTCAGAAAAGATTTATAAAATAATGTATTATAATGGATAAATACCATTGAAAAAACATATATCAAAATCCAATCATCCATGATCCAATCCATGAAATTGATATCCAAGTAGCCATGCTATTTGAAATCCACAGTACAAATGATGATCACTTAATACTTAATATTATTTTAGTACTTCTATTGTCTATAGTTCATTGAAAGGCTGAATAAAAGAGATATATTTTCTTTCATAGAAAGATGATGGTCACAAGTTATGTGTTGGCAGAGTCCAATTTGTAACAGTTATTGGTAATGATTCAGTTTATGACACAGATGAATGGAGTCCCGAGTGTAGATACCATTGGTAATGAATGGTTTTCCGCAATGGTTTACTTTTTGTCAATATTGTTGCTTCCACCCATCATGATGATAAATAGGAGTCCTGAGTGTATAAATTGCCATATAAATGCGGTAGTTGGTGAAAAATATCAATAGCTGTTAAGATAATGCTCTGGTGGATTGTCCAGTTGGACATGCAGTCACAACTGATAGGTTTTTGTTAAAACAGGAAAGACTGGTACAACAATTTAAGTGAAATTTGTCAATATTGTTGCTTCCACCCATCATGATGATAAATAGGAGTCCTGAGTGTATAAATTGCCATATAAATGCGGTAGTTGGTGAAAAATATCAATAGCTGTTAAGATAATGCTCTGGTGGATTGTCCAGTTGGACATGCAGTCACAACTGATAGGTTTTTGTTAAAACAGGAAAGACTGGTACAACAATTTAAGTGAAATTGTACGTGCAGACACATTTTGGTATTAGAAGCCAATATTCCAAAGACGTATCTAGAGATGTTTTGCTGAAGCAACACTTGGCACAGCTGGGAAGTCAATACCTCTAAGCAGAAGAGGCATTATTTCCGCTTCATCGCAACACAAACTCCTTGTAATTCAATGTGGTCTAGTAGTCCAGACAAACTGAAATAGAGATTGAAAATCGATTTAATTAAACACAAAATAAGCAATTTAACATAAGGTACCTTATTTATATAATTTATATATGTCTTTAATTTAAGATTGTGTAATTCAGTAGTTTAATAATATTGTAATTAAATTATTCATTAATTAAGACAATGGTTATTTTACTTATGCTGTATATCCAGTATGTATAGATATTATACTGTGATGTTCTAACATTACTTTTATTCAGATTAAGTCAAGTAGTTTGTATTTCATATCCATTAAGTCATTAAGGAGCTTTAACAGATATAAATTTACTTATGTAAAAAAGTCTGGTAGTCTTGATGGGTCCTTAAGACAGCTCGTCTATCAATTGGCTGCAATGGCTGAAAAAGGCTGTGTATTTAAAAGAAAGAAAATGCTGAGGAATTTAAGAAATTTTAACAACATTTTTCATATACAAAGTAAAGATTGGGCTAAGTCTGAAAAGTCAAATATAATAGCTTTGAGCTAAAGCGGTAGAGTTTAGAGGCAAGAAAGGAATATACATTTTAAAAAAAAATAGGGTATACAAAAGGAAAAAAAAGAGAGATAGGTTATTTAGAATACAAAGGTAAATAAAATAATGAAATTTAATCGAAATAGGTGATGACATTTAGTATTTAGTTTAGTAGCTGCTGAGCCTATTACTACAACAACTATTCATTGTTTACCGTATCTAATCTGGGTTTAAGATAAATTATATCAGTAAGGGCATTATTTAATTTCCAATTATATAATTCACTGTTGTGAAGTTTGATAATTATTACAATTACAACATATATTTAAATAATTCAAGTTGATATATCATATAGTTTTGACATGGTTATCACGGATGTAAATTTTATTATTTTACAAAATGAAATTTCATAAATATTTATAAATTTGTTTTCATTCATGAAATAAAAACGAGTTTAATAATAAAAATGAACTGGATTGCTTTTAAAAACAATAGATTTATAAAGATTTGTAAATACTTCTTATGCAATAAGAATAATAATAACAGAGAATGGTTATCACTTCCGGTGCATTTGGCCTTATCGATAACTGGTCAGGAGCTATTGCTCAAATTTACGCCCGAACGCCCTGTTTATACAATTTACGGCCTATCTAAATGTCAATATGTTTCTTGCTTCAATTAGTTAAATCACTTTTACATTCAATACAAAAGGAATTAATTGCAATACGATAATGGTTTCCGAAATATAGCGCTAGCAAAATTACCTGTTTTCCCAACGAAAGATATCTGCCACAAGCCCTGTCAGTCCGGTGAAAAAGTTTATTTTGTAATGATCGTCCTCCTCGTGGGCACAAAATAGACTATAGGAAGTTCATTGTCTCTCCCTTACATAGACAAAGAAACGAAATCTAAACATGACCCTGTGACCTACTGGCATTGACCGGTCGCCGGTTAATGGTCTGTTTCTCGCATCCGAAAAATCGACCGGCACGCGCAGCTTAGTGAAGTGGCTAATAATGGACGCTGTTGATTTGGTAAACAGAAAAGCCATATATTATTTTAAATTTATTGTTCTACATAGTGCATAGTTAGATAAACTATAATTTATATATATTTGTATAACAACATTATTAAAATTATTTGTTAATACAGAATTAGTTCTGAAAATAAAAGTCGCATAAAATTATCATTAAACCGAGAGTTATATAGCTCGTGACGTGGAGGTGCAGTCTATGTTAAAAAATGACAAACCAAGTCGTATTTTAAAAATTCATAACTTTAAAACTACAATAGCTAAAAATATGATTTTGGTTTTAAAATTCTGTTAAAATTAGCTCTATTCAACTATGCCATTGGTTTATTTATACACAAAGTTTGAATTTTCTTAACAAAGTACCTACCTAGTTTAAATTTAAGTATAATATAAGTAAGTAGGCAAGTAGTAGTGTAGTAGGCTACTACGAATCTGAAATTAGGCCAAATTAATGAAATCTTACCATTTTTCTCCAATTTTAGCAAACGCACTTTAAGTACTTATGTGACAGTATAATTTCTATTGACAGTAGAGGTCAAGTAATGAGGAAATTATTTTGTAATCTAAAGAATTGTGTACATGCAACGTTATTTCTGAGAAGCAAAGCCATTAATGCAAACCAAGAGTACTTTTTTGTTAGTCGCAAAAAAGGGCCATGATTCCGCATAAACAAATCTTCTGAGTATTTCAAGTATCTATTAACACTTGCTATGAATACAGCAACTATCCAACTAGTAGAAATAGACGTATTTCTATAAATATCATAATCGATCGTGAAAATATTATTACACTACGTGTTTCATTGGTATCTAAAGTTAGAAAGCAGTAACTAGGGATGTACCAGTGGGGTAGCCAGGGTTAGTGCTGCCAAATATTAATATTAATATAAGGAAAAAGTGTCACCCGGGCGGACCACCCTCTCCGCACCTTGGGTGACACATGAAGAAAAAGAACAAATAAATTGTTTATATATTGTGGCTGTACACCCCAGTTCGTTTGAGAGCTAATAACAATTTTTTTTTTATTTTAAGTCATTTTTAAGCTAAGAAGCGACAACACAGGGAAAAGAAAAGGGCTGATTTAAATAAACGTACTATATTTTCCGATCCGTGGCGCAAATCCGAAATGCAGGGCCCAAGGTGATATGGTGAATACAGGAGAGTGTTTCGGTCATCTTTCGTCCAGCTCTTGTTATTACAGTCAAAAGCCATTTTTTGTTACTTTAAAATAGGCTTGGTTTTATTTCAAAAAATAAAAAGGCAAAGGGGTTCATATTTAGGGTTTGGGGAGAGGGGGGGGGGGGGGTTAAAGACAATAACAAAAATTAACCACGATGAAGTTCCTCCTTTTTTAAAAAACTTCAAATGCACTTGAGCTAACAAAAGTATTTGGATACTTTTTTTCTAAGATTGTTTTGAAAATTAATTTTAATAAATTAAATATTTCTGGTCGATTTCTACTTGATTTTAGAGGCACAAACTTATTCCTTTTGCAACATTAAATATCTACAAATAAGTATATCATAAAAATTATTAAACGAAGTGGCTATAGGTACCCGAGTACCCATCATCGCCAATGACTATTCGCACCCGAAAGTCTTAGTAATCGAAAAAAAAAATGATCCGAACCAGAGGCTTAATAATCGACAAGTTTGCCGCGCTTTCTTTTATAAGAATGGAGGTTGGCAGCATTTTTGACACCTATGCATCTTTTGAAGACGAATTGAATTATTTTTGTAAAGAACACAATGTGTGTTTCACTAAAAGATCGTCAGAGAAGATGAAAGATCCCAATTTGGAACACCTTAAATATGAATATATAATTCACTGTTGCAAACAAGGCGTTAAACGCAAGTCAAAGTCTTCAACGACAACAGGCCAAAGAAAATCACAAGCGTAAGTAATAAAGTAATAATAATAGGTTAACTTTAAATTTAGTTGGTCTTGTCATGTAATAATTCTTTCTCCAAGCCAATGATTATTACCACGGTAAATGTAGAGGACGAATGCCACTATTTTATCGATGGCCGCGACTAATGTATCCCTAAATCAATCACTATGCTATGCCTAACCTGAACCCTAAATCGACCTCTCAACCTAACCTGAACCCTAATTCACTGCAACTATAATAAAGAAGCAAATGACGCCGTGGCATTCGTGCTCTACATTAGCCCTTACCACTTTTTGCAATTCGTTGAGAATTTTTATATTTTTCAGTTCTTTCAAATTGGGATGCCAGGCAAAGATAAAGCTTGTTGCCAAGAGAAATCCATCTCGGCTAGAAATTACCAAATCAATGCATGAACATACTGGCCATGAAGTATCAAAAGAAGTAAGTGCATGTGCTGCGAAAAATATTTACATAATAATAATAAATAGCTTATCTCATTATCTTTCTGCTCTTCGTAACCTTATGTCTTTTGACAACTGCAAAATTACAGTATGTGATCGTTTAAGATTGCTTGCTGCAAACACAGCTCAGTATATGTCATCTGATAATGATGAAAGTGTAAATAAGATTGAAAGTGTTGCTACTTCCTTTGCTGCTGCTCTATTGCTCAATCAGCTCAAATTGTCACGATCTGTTCCGTACTCTGTTGTCCCTGGAGAGGCAGAACTTTTTTCAGTAGCTTATAAGTAGGCATACCGATACTCCCTTGCGCATTCATTCTGCGCATGAGGAAAAAAAACGCAAAAATTGAAGTGGCCATCTTACAATCGCTTCTACGGTGACCTCGGATTTATGCGTTTTACGTCACAGTTTCCTATTTGTACATTTGTTTTGTCATCGATGACGTTTAATATTTGTCTTCCGGTGACGCACATGTTTTTAGAGCGACTGGATTGAGCTCTGTTCTTTTTTTGTGACACTTTGACCATACGGTAAGCTATAAATATGTATTAATACTCCGTTTCAGCAATTGCACACCCTTTAAACCTAAAGAATCGAGTTAAGCATCCAAATAAGATGGGAAATAAATTTGACATTGCCAATTTACCATTTTCAAGGTGTAATAAATATCCTTCTAATTGTCATGACCCCACCAGCACCGGAAAAAAAAAAATGGTTGATTTTTATTTTTGCACCGGGAAGATTAAAGGGGCTCTAGATACTTCTTAATAAGATAGTTTTAACACATTAGTAATCTTTGAACATCGAAATAAATCTAATACAATTAGTAAAATGTATTATGAAATATCAAAGAAACTTATATGATGATTAGAATTTTAAAAAATTACATTGATTGAAATTGAAGCTTGCTTTTTTTTTTTTGGAAAGGTGGAGAATCGTATATATATTATTATTATTATTATATAGTATAATAATATAAAAAATTATTATTCAATATACAATTATAAAAATATTTAATCTATGAATAAATAAAATATGAAATATAATTTAGGAATAATCTTTTTATAGTAAAAAATAATTTTCATTTTGGAAATATCAATAATAATTATTAGTATTAATTTAAACAAAATTAAAAGTAAAATTATTGCCATAATTTCTAAGAATTTGATTTTGTTTTTTTTCCCCAGCTATAGGAGAATGTCTGAGTCTGTTACCCTTCAGGATTTTGATCGTTTGGTGGCAAGCTTTGCCCAAGATGCAGCCACTGGCATGTATAGGAATGGCTATGCATTCTATTTGTATACCAGCTGTGCCAACAAGAAAGAGGGCATGATGGCTGCAGTGTCTGCACTTGATGAGGTCTTTATTAAGAAAGATCTCAACTATGTGTCAAATAAGAAAGGAATACGTACTCGGTGTGACAGATTGTTTACTGATATCTTATATTTAAAAAGGCATTTCACTCTAAAATGGATGAAAATCCAAGATCTTTTGTTTCAGCCTTTTCAAGTTCCAGTTGCCAAGGAAAAAAAGATTGTGCCTTCCAGCTCATCTGATGCTGCAACTCCATTAACAGATGAAATGTTTCTTCCACAGGTAGCTCAGCAAGAATTAAAGGCTCCACCAAAACTTAAGAAGTTGCGCACTGATTGTAATCAATGCCACTCCATAAGGCAAAGGTGTATAGCCAGGTGTCAGTTTTTTGAAAATAAGGTGAAGGTTGTTAAATGTAAATTAAATGCTAAGTCACTTCACAGGTCCCCTGAGACGAAAGTTTTGACTCAGACCATAAAGAGGAAGACGCAGAGGGTTGAGACACTAAAGCGGGAGAAGACAGCACTGAAGACCAAGGTGCTGCACTTGGAACGACAACTGGGAGCGTCAACAACCAAGATGGAGAAGTGCAGTCTTCTGAGCAGAAGGAACCGCATCCTGCAGAAGAAGGTCACCAAACTACAGGAGGAGGTGTTTCAGCTGAAGGCTACAGTAAAGGCAACGACGGAGGACAGGATAGAGGCACTCTTGAAGGTGGATGAACTGATGGAGGCGTCTGAGAAGGTTAAAGTAATCACTACCACATCTGCAAAATCCACAGGCACCCATGGTAAAGCTCGTAGGCAAAGATATACCTATAATACCCCCATGAGGAAATGTATATATAATTGCATTTTGAACCAGGTGCCTGTGGATAAAGCTGGAATAGTGATTGACTTTATTGTCCGAGAGCTGGCTGGACAGACCTTGTCAGACGTCCCCTGTGCATCCACAGCTGCATCCATGACCTATGAGCTGGGAATCCTCTCTGACCTTCAAGTCGGTGAAGCATTGTTTCAGGCTAATAATGTTACATTATCCTGAGACTCTACACCACTTGACGGTCAGCATATTAACGCTTGTAACATTTCAGCTGATGGGCAGAACCTGACTCTCCAGACAGCAGGAATAGCAGGTGGTAAGACAGAGGATTACCTAGAGCAAGTCATGAATGCGCTTCAGGATGTTGCCTCCGTCTATTCGACTTTCCATAAAATTCAACAGCAAATGGTGCTGTATACTTTTAATCTCTCTCTCCAGGCAACGCTAAGCGATCGAGCTCGGGTGAATAAGTGTGTGTCTCAGCAACTGGAAGAGACCCTAGGCAAGAAGCTAGTGCAGCTGAAGTGCCACTTACACCCTCTGGACGGCATGGCCACCCAGGCCAGGAAGGAGCTCAGAGCTTTAGACGTTGAGTGGGAGATTAAGGGTAATGTTTTTGGAAGTGAAGGCTGCGCAGCTAATTTGGTTTATGCTGTGTCTAAATTGAGGTAAATATAAAAAATTATTATTTTGTATATTCTATTCAAAATTTGGTTTTTAAGTGTTATGTTTTTTAATTGATTATAAATTTGAAATACTAAAATATTTTCTTTACATTTACAGATACAAAATGAAATCAGGAGACCCATCAGGGTTTAAGGCCTTCCTTGAGAGATCTAAGCTAAACCCAGGAGTCATAGTACGCTATGTGGGGAACAGACTCCATGTTCTGTTCCACCTAGCAGGGATCATTGTCCACCTGAAGGATATGCTATCCCAGTACTTGACTAAGTACTCAACTGCTATGGGGTTGCGATCGGTCATTATGAAGGATCTCGACAACCCCAACATTTTTTTGCAGTTGAGAGCTTTAGGTAAATATATATGTATTTTAAAATATTGTAGTGGTGAAATGTTAAACAATATCTCATGTAGTTTATCAATATTATACATGTGTGTATTGTTTCCTAAATTTTATT